CATTGCGCGTGGTGATTGATAAGGATGGTCAGCCTACGGACACGTTGGACGAGAAAGCACTTCATGTGATGAAGGAAATTGGTAGCTCAGCAACGACTGTAAAAGAAGCGAAAGCGGACGAGAAGGTCAAAGCATATTTGGATGCTGGTCTGAAGCGAGCCAACACCCGCGCTACGTCACGTGCACAGAACGTGGCCAAATATACTGTGCTTGACCACGAGTTCTCTGTCAGTGGCAATGAGCTGACACCGACGCTTAAGCTCAAGCGTAAGGTCGTGTACGAGAAGAATGAGTCGATCATCGAGAGCATGTACTCGTAAGCATTGCTCCTGACAGCGCCGTTTGCGCTGGTCTCTTTCATATCGATACGTTGTCCATTGTGCACGTCTTTACACCGGGAATGATTCGCTTGTCGCGCGCACTAGCAGCGGCACATGTGCCGACGACCCAAAATACATTTTCACATTTTACTTTGCTCGCCTATGCTTGCATTTGAATAAAAAAGTATCGTTTTTTTTCAACGCAATTTTCATTTTCCAGAAGATTCAAAAATTCGATCTGGTGAGCTACGCACGCTTGCTCCTTTGGCGCAGTTTAAGCTGTTGCTCCTGCAATCGATTATTCTTCTGAATAGCGTTGTAGATAGCAATCAGTACAATTAGCACTGCCATCATGAGTACATGAGACACATTAAACTTGAATGTAGACGCTTTGCCTGCACATGCAAAACACAATCAACACTCCTCATAGCAATGGAGAAAATACTTGGACACGAACCCAGCACATGTTCGAGAGCGTAACGCAATTTGTCAGCATCTGCAGTAAAAGCCCGTCAGGCCATTAGGAGGTGAAGAAAATTTGAATTGCGACTTCACTTACAGGGTTTTAGACTTTGCACAATCGGGATAGTCATATAGCGCTTGAGATCTGCTGAATCACGTGAGTATTCCGAGCAGGAGCCATTACTCCTGTAGATGACGCACCTGACGTAAGAAAGCGGAACACATTTTGAAAGTTGAAAAGCGCCAGCCCCGATACTAGCAGCAGCACAGGTGGCAAGAGCAGCACATTCAGGATGCTAAGGTTGAGAATCATAGCTTTTTGTTTGTGAGCGAGTTTTGTAAACGTTCAATCTACACCTTTCAAATTTGAGAATGTAATAATATCTATCAACGCGTTGTGATGTGTCACACTTAAGAGATAAACCATCTTCTTCGTTAGCTTTTAAGATTAATCACAACGTTAAATTTCTCGACCACCAAGCTTCTCAGCACGTACTTTGAATGATGTACGTACAGATCACCCTGCTGTTTAGCAAAGATCTGATGAAGTACCTTTGGGAAGTGAGCAATAATTATTGTTTGAGTACAGGATGTTCACAGGGCAAGTACGGTTATTTAATGTACTCGACCCTCACACATATGGTACAATTGTATCGTATTGTATCCGATTCGATTGCACAAAATTCAAAATATGAACCATTTATGAAGATGACGAAACTCCAAAAGGAGGGATGCATGGTACATATGAGTTGCTAGCCGCAATTCAGAGGAGGAATGCAGGAATGCATGGTAAATATGAGTAGATAAAGCCACACTATGAGAAGTAGTTAAACAAATGTATCGAGTATCAGACTACATAATAAAATACTACATTTAAGTAATGTAGAATAGGTTGACAAACTAATTTACCTCGGAGGCCCTCGGTTCCGCGAGAACCTACCCAATATCCGTGAGTTCATGAAAGCAGCTATGGAGTCAAAGCTTCGTCAGTGTAAAGTGCACGACAACCCCGTTGCACATGGTAGCACATGCAGAAAATTCCGGGACCGATTCGTATGAAAGCTGAATTCTCTGCGAGGATGCATAAAGTGCGCTCATCCACGGTCGGTCATTGACCCTCGTGTGATATATGGCTTCCGCCCTGCGCATCCCGCTTTGGAAGCGAAGGACGCGTTAACTCGATCGTTACGCGTCCACATCATCAGGCTCCCGGCCAGAACGAATGTTGAACTTGCCACACGAAAAGCTCTTCGAGCTCATTTATTGGTCCCACACGATTTTCCGTTAAACGTTTATCGCATTCGTCTAAGTGTTCAACGAGGTGGCTCTCGTGTACCCGCAATGCGAACAATACCTGAAGTGCTCGCCCCTGGAGAAAGCACTACAGATGACGAAGCGCTCTTTGAGCGATAGGTGCAACGGCACCGAAAATTTTCCTCACTGCATATCCTGAAGTTGAGCCACAAGGAATTGGACGTGCGTATGCAGCGACACCTCCGCTTTGAGTTTGCCAAACTCAAGGCACGCCGTCGACTTCTTTTGGAGTGTCGCCCTGCGACGTATGGTTAGCAATTTCTAGTGCTCTTGCGGGCTCTGTGTTTCGACCGCAAGAGCTCAGGGCCCCGGTTTGAGCTCAGCTCATGCCCCGTCTACCTCCCTGACTATTGCCGGGAAGCGCGGGGCGTTTGATATCGCGGGACGTCCTGATCTTTCCGATCAAAAGCGTCAACGGCGACTGGGCAATCTTGCCGAAGTGGCGCCTCAAACTCCCACGATTTTTCTGAGTCGGGATATCCCCGCCACTTCACCAGATATTGTGTTTAACGCTGGAGACGACGACGTCCAACAAGACGTTCCACGTGATAGTGAACGTCACCGTTCTCATCGAGAAGAGTCGGTGGCGGGCAGTGACGACCGGATCGACCGCCATCCGATGACTTGTGATGCTCTTCGAGCCCTTGAGGATAAGAACCTTCGTAATCGGGGATCCGCTGAGCGTTATGCTGAAGTAGAATTTCGCTGTGCGGACGCTCTTGACGATTTATAGCACGTCGTGCGCCGGCTGCCTTGCCTTGAGAACTACCGCTCTCTGTCGGAGCGACTCCTAGCCGTGGAGCAGGTGAATGCATCGCTGCAGGCAACGGTGTAGCGCTTAGCTCCATTTGAAATAAAGGTTGTTGCACTCCGTGCTCAGATCCAGTTGCTGGTTCAACTTCTGAATGGCCGTGGTCCCGTGGGATCCGGTCCGGCGTCAACGCTTCCGCGTTCACTTGCGCCGGATCTGATGATTCGAAGAACCTTGACGA